AGTCACGGACACAGACAGGGGCTTCTGAGCAAGTCGCACTGTCCATGCGGTGTGAGCCAGACCCTGGGCAAGGCTCGGAGGAGGAGACATGGCCCCCAGCCCTCCTGTTGAAGATGGTCCACAATCCTGAATTTATGCCACCCCCTGGGCCAGGATTAGATGCTGCCTGTCTTAGGAGGTATCTTCACTCACCCTGACACTGGGGTGTGGCCTGGTGAGGATGAACAAGCACCCCTCAACCCCAGCCCAAGGCACAGCACTCACGCCACATATTCCACAAAGAAGGAATGCTCTCTGCTGTCTATGTAGCTCCTAGGGGTAGAGAACCCCAACTCATGCCCACCTCTCCCCTCTCTGAGTCAGGGAGCTGACCCTGAGTCACCTCACCACTGGGAGCTTGGGAGACAGGCTGAACCCCAGGTCTCACCCTAAAGGACTGAACTCCAATCTGAATTTTAATAAGACTCCCCAGATCTGCATGCACAAGAAGGCTTGAACAGCACCCCCTCTCCCCCACAACCCACACAGACCAGCCTCTTCACTTCACAAATCCAGGGGAGGGACCCAGAGGGGAGGAGGCTGGCCCAAGATCACACCACTGGGGCCAATCCTGGGTGTGGCCTCTTGTGGTAAATCACTCCAGAGTCACCCAGTCAGGGCGAGCCCAGAGGGTGAGCTGCTGCTGGGATGTCTGTATCCACAAGAGCATGCCTGGTTCAAGTCCCAGATACTCTGGTTTCTGATCCAGTCTCGTGCACACCCTGGGAGGTTGGCAGGCAGTGACTTAAGTACTTGGGGTCTGGCACATCTGAGAGATCCAGATGGGGTGCTGGGTCCCTGATTTTGGACTGGCCTTGCACTTGCATTTGTGGGCATCACTGGGTAAAAGGTCTCATTTTTGCCTTTCAAGTAAAATAAAATAAAATAAAAATAAAAACAAAAACAGCAGCAGCTGGCCCACCACCAGGCATGAAGTTTGCATTCACTAAGTGTCAGCTACTGCTGTGGCCCCAGCTCACTGTCCAGGGAGCACGATGCCCAGCACCCGGCACAGGGCCACTTCTCCTACTGAGTATCAGGTCCAGCAGGGCAGAGAGGGGACCTGGACCCAGGCTGCATGCAGCAAGCCAGCTCTGCCATGGACCTTGAGTCAATTTCTGAGTTGTTCTTTTGTTCTTGGCTTCAGTCTGATCACCTGTAACTCAGTATAATGATAGGGTATCGTGTGGGTTACATGAGTTAATGCATTTAAGGTCTGTGACCAGTCGGTCGTCCACAGCAACCACACAAGACGGACTGAAGGATGCTTCCAGAGTGTTCAAAGGATGGGAGCAAGGATGAAGGAAGTCTGACCTGGGCAGGGGCAGGATCTTTCCTGGAGGGAACAGCTCTATGCACCCCCCAGGAACCCATGGCAAGTCCTGGGACGACTGCCTCCCATGGTGGCAAGCAGAGGCCGCTGGGAAGCCAGTGATGCCTGGGTCGGGTGGGCAGGCTCAGGCAGGCTGGGCAGCTGTCTAAATCTCTGAAGCCCGTCACGCACCAGGGGATTAGCCTGCCGGATGACTGCAGGGGACAGAAATAGGAAGTTCCAGGAAGTCCCCTCAGAGCTGTTGAGAGGCGGCCCCAGCTGCCGCCAGCTAGCCGGTGAGGTGTGGAGGTGAGGGCAGCCCAGGCTGGGAGGCTGGGCTGGTCCACCGCCAAAGAAGAGGGGAAAGTGTCAGTTCCACAAGCCAAGAAGCTTTTCCAGTGCAGGTTCTCACAGTCAGGGAGAGCGGCTTATCCAGGAGCAGGGGGTTCTCGCCAACCTCTTCAGTTTCTGTCCCCTCCAAGAATTTCTTCCCCTCAGCCCTGCTCTCAGCCCTCCCTTCCTGACCCTCCCCTGTGGGCACCCAAAGAGCTTGCTAAGGCTCTTGCAAAAGGAAGCGCAAGGGGATAGGAACTTCTGCCCAAGGGGGGAGGGGGATGTCACGCCTTAAAAGCCCAGGGCACTCCAGCCATGTGTATGGCTCTCCCTAGAGGCCTTCTTCTGAGGGCGCCCCTGCTGGTCACCCCCCTGACTCACCCTCTTCCATCAGGGCATTTCCCAAGTATAGCCCGGGCCCTTTAGTGCAGAGCCTCCCCGGGGAATCGGACTCACGTTCCAGGGTCCCTTACCAGACCCAGGAGTGATGGAGTGGAGGCGCCTGCCTTTTGCCCCGGCCCCACAGCGCCGCCTGGTGTCTCCCCGCTGCTGCGCCTGGGAGCGTTCTCGGCCAGGGTCCAGCCTTCCGGGTTCGGACCGCCTCTGGGACTTCGTCCTCGGGGTCGGGTTTCTTTCTTTCTCCACTTCTCTCCCTCCCAGAACCCCCTCCTTCAAGGGAGCGTCCAGGCCCAGCAGCCTCTAGCTTACAACTCCCTCTGCTTCCCCAGTCTTCCGTGATCGGGATAGGCGCCGCAGCCCGACCCTGCCACATCAGACAAGACCTATAAAGAAACCTTGGCTGGAAGCAGCCATGGCGCGGGTGCCCAAGGCCTGCGCGAACGGCCAGCAGAGGGCAGCCCATCTCCAGTTTAGGGCCTCCAGAGGCGCCCATCCTGCTCCCCACAGCCCCTAACAGTGAGGATCCTTTTTGGATACGGCAACACCCACCCTCCCTTTCCTCGCCAATGCCTCTCGCGGGTCATGCCCTGGGCTGGCGCTAGAGAGATCCCCAAGACAAAAAATGGTCTGACTGGCCCTGGCCTTCACTCCATGGTCCTTAACTGTCCCCTTGAGCCCTGCCTGGCAGCGCATTAGCACAGAAGAGCACCTCCGAATGTTTATGGGGAAACGGAATTTACAAATTAGCCTTTTCTAGTGCAAAACTCTACAGAACTCATGAGTAGCTTTTTCATTATCTGCATCTCCAATGAACTTCTTTTTATTTATTTTACTTATTAGAAGGCAGAGTTATAGAGAGAAGGAGAGTCACGGAGAAACCTTCCATCCACAGATTCACTCCCCAGATAGTCCTAACAGCTGAGACTGGGCCAGGCTGAAGCCCTGATTAAAGACTTGGGCCGTCCTCCGCTGCTTTCTCAGGAGCATCAGCAGGGAGCTGGATCAGAAGAGGAGCAGCCGGACACAAACTGGCACCCATATGGTATGTTGGTGTTACAGGTGGGGGGCAGGGGGTTTACCGGCTATGCCATAGCACTGACCCTCCTCCAGTAACTTTTTGAAGATTTCTCCCCCATAGTTCCCTTTCTCAGACTGCAGGAGCTGGACCTGGGCATCCAGGTTACACACACACGCACGCACGCACGCACACACACCTACCTGGTGGTCAGTGTGGCTCAGGCAACTATGTGTGGAAGAGGGGCTGCAGAGGATGGGGAGAAAATGAGGAAGTGCATTTTTGTGCAACGGGGAGAGGGAGTAAGCCCTGAAAGCAGGTCAATTATCAGTGCCCAGTGACCCTGGGTTCACTGTTGCCCTCTGATCCTGTGAGGTGGGGCTCAGCCTCTCCCTGGGGACAGCTCAGGGACCCCCTGCCCTGCAGCAAGGGAGGGTGGTATTTGGTTCAACAACACCCTGTTGATGAGGTCCTGGGAGGACATCAGGAAATCCCCTTCTCCCCCAATTTCCCAGGACAGGGAGGAGGACCACTATTCCTGTGTATCAGATCTCCAGTCTGGACAGACGAGACACCCCATTGCTTTGCCAGGATGCTGGCTGGCCTGGTGGCTGTGCTTTTCTTCATTCTTTCTCATCCTTAAACTTGGTGCTTCCCACTATCCTGTCTCACGTCTCAATTCATCCCTGGGCGGGACAAAAGCCTCCTGGCAGCCACCTTCATGCACCACGAGCCCGTGGACACTGCAGTCCAGCCGCGACGCTCCTGCAGGAGTCCACCAGGAGCAGACATGGCAGGCAGACACGGCTGGTAGCCACAGACCACCCTTTGCCCCAGCAGGATCTGGTAGGGGGACCGCAGGCAAAGGCCGCAGGTGGAACTTGGCGCTTCCTCACCAAGTGAGCTTTCTGGATCTGACCTGTTAGTTCCTTGGGGCCAAGTTCCCCTCTCCTGCTGGGGCTTTCCAAACTGGAAGTTCCCAACACACAGATTTAAGGGGCTCTGGCTGAGCCCCAGGCCCCAGAGTCCAATGCAGTTCCCACATGCAGATGTGGGGCTGAGGCTGAGCAGGCAGGCAGGGTGGTGGCTCAGCTGGAACTGGTGCTAAGCAAGCGGCCCTTGGAAAAAGCTGGAACAAGCTCATCCAACTCATTTCCACCAGGCCTCCTGCTAATTAGATTATTCCTGCTAATTCCCTCCCAGTCGGGCGAACTGCCAGCAACAGCGATAGACGCAGGACCAGAATCCGGAAGCTCTGTTCTAATAGTTTTATTGATCAGATAAATCAGCCCCCGCCTGCAACCCCAGCAGTGGTCCTTTCAGAGCCTGGGAGTAGTATAACCCGCCCCCTCCTTCCCACTGCTCCTGACCTGGGGGCCTCAGGGTGGTGTGACCAGAGGAGGGTGTGGTGAAAGGGAGGGGCAGGGTCCTGGGTCAAAGGTTCCAAGGCCTGGGCAGGAGGCTGTGTCTGTCTCCCCCACATCCTAGGATCAGGCAGGTATAGCGCTGGCCAGTGCCCTGCTGGGCTGGGAAGCTGCCTTTAGCGGCCTCAGAACCCAGGACCAGGCCAAAGCTACCCTCCCATCTGGATGAACAGGAATGTGTGTTGAATGTAGTCCATTAGGATGTTTACTGACCAGGGAACTAGAGGCCTGCTGAGGGCAACAATGTCAGCTCCCTCTTTCCCCAGCAAAGGCCTCAAGAAGTAGGTGACACCTGTCGGAGACCCAAGCCCTGGCTATGTGCACAGCGACTCCTGAGGCTGATTCTGCGAAACAAGAAGCCCATCCTTCCCCTCTCTGCCCGCCGACAGCCCCTCCTCTTCGGGCCCCATGCTACTGTTTTTCTGGGTACCAAAGTGTGGCCTCAGGTGTCTTGGCCAAGTGATGGTGGAGGGGGAGGAACTTGAAATGCAGAGGTCCCCTACTGGAGAAGGTGACAGATGCCAGACAGGGTAGCCCCTGGGTGGGGTGGGACAGCAGGTAGATTTCCAGACAAAGGGAACCAGAAGCCCAAGTTCATGTCGTGAGTGATGGGTGACAGGGCTGGGGTGGGGTGAGGGGCGTTTGATGGAGAATCCTGGAGGTTGGCGAGGCTGCTAGGGAGGGGATGGCAGCGACAAAAAGCACAGGAGCAGGCAGGGTGTACTGGTCAGTGGTAGCCTCACTCGGAGTGGACCAAGGCCCCAGCTCCTTGTCCAAAGCCAAAACCCTTGGGTCCAAAGTTTTTAGCATAGCATCCTAGAGAGAGAGAAAAAAGGCACAGGAATGAGCTCCCCTTGCCTCTTCCTCTCTAGCTGCACCACTCTCTGAAGATGGGGCCTGGCCAGCAGTGCAAATTCAAGAGTGAGGTGGCTCTAGCCTCCCACCCTGGACCTATCTCTCCCGCCAGAGACAATGGACACAGCACTGTCTGCTATGAACCTAGATTCCAGCCCACTTGCCCCAGCCTGGCGAAGCTCTAACCACTGAACTCCCCGCCCCCAGGCCTCCAAATCTCTCACCAAAGGGAAGCCACTCACCTTTGCAGTAAATCTCGCCATCCTTGTCTGCCAGGGTGGTGGACTCAAGGCCTTTGCCGCACTTGGCACAGCGGAAGCAGGACTTGTGCCAGGACTAGGTGGGGAGGAAACAGTTGATGACGTTACCAGCACCAACAGCACCGAAGTCCTGATCCTCCTGGGGCTGCTGAAGGACGAGGGCCACGTGCTGGGCAGCACAGGAGTAGCTCAGGTACTACAATACCATGTGGTACCCTCTTCAGTGAACGGTGGCCTAGGCACCACTAAAGACAGGCTATGGGTGGGATGACCACCAAGGCTGCAGTTCTGCCACCAGCAGGGCAGGCTGAGCCTGTTCTAGACCCAGCCTGCCCCCAGATGAGTGACATGAGCAAGGCTCTGCCCTTTCCCATCCTCTCTGTCCCCACCTGTATCCTGCCTCTTGCTAGCTTAACAGCCTCTGGGAGGTCCACAGCCAGGAGCTCTCTGCTGTCTCTCCTGCAACATGGACCTGGAGACAAGCTATGTGGATGAAGGATGCCTGGCCACAGAGCAGGTGCCTGCTACCATTGCTGGGCTATCCTGGACCAGACTGGCAACTGAAGTGCTGGCTGTGTGGCCTTATTCCATGCTCAAAGGCCCTGGCCTTGCACAGTCAGGAGAATGTGCTTCCTCTTAGAGGAGCTGTGACCATCCAGGGGGAGATGGCGGCACAGCCTGGGGTCACTGCTACTAGGATTGCATGGAAAGAGGCTGGATCACCACAAGGCCTTGGGTGCAGCAGAAAAAGGCCCAAGGAATTCAGTGTCTCCAAGGCCACAATACTCTTTTGTGGTTCTAATAGGTGCCTGGGCAACGCAGAGTAAGCAGCACCCCAGGGAAAAGCAGTCTAGGCAGCCCACAGTGCCAGACCCAGCACACGTAACACTGGGACTCAATCCAAATCTCCCACATGGAGGACAGGAACTTGGCCCTGTGGAGTGAACCTACTGGGATTGGGGCATCTCCCTATAGCTCTGATTTTAAGATTTATTTACTTTCATTGGAAATACAGATCCACAAAGATCTTGTACCTACTGGTTCACTCCCCAAATGGCAGAATGACAGGAACTGAGCCAATTTAAAGCCAGGAGTCAGGAGCTTCTTCCTGGTCTGCCATGTGGGTACAGGGTCCCAAGGCATTTTGAGTCATCCTTTGCTGCTTTCCTAGGTCATAAGCAGGAAGCTGGATGAGAACTGGAGCAGCTGGGACACAGGTTGGCACCCCTATGGGCTCCTGGCACTTAGAGTTGGAGGATTAGCCAATGGAGCCATTACACCAGGACCAAATAAGTAAATCTTAAAGAGACATGTTCTCTCACAACTCTGCATTATCATTTTAGGGGGCTTGTGGATCCATCCCCAACACTGTCCACCCCCTTAGCCTCTATGGTCCCCAACACTGGGGACACCTGGGATACTAGTGCTGGGAATGTTACTGCTTTTGGTGCCAGGAGCTCCTTGGCAGCGGAGGGGAAGGGGTTAAAGCCCAGTGTTCAGGTCACCTGAGCAGAGCAGGCTGCCACCTACCCAGATGCAGGCAGGTGCCCCTCCTGTGCCCACACGCCCCCTGGCAGCCTTACCTTCCCGGCGCCGATCACCTTCTCCGCAGCATAGACTGCCTGGCTGCAGCGGGGACAGCGCTCAGAGCCACCAACCTTCTGGGCAAACTTGGATGCATTGGGGTTGGTGGTGGGCCTGTGGCCTGGAGCCCTGCGTGGGGAAGGACTTGTGTGTACTAAGAATGAAGGCTGCAGCCCCCAGGCAGTAAAAAAGGCTAGGGCCATCAGGGCCGCTAGGGCCATCAGGGCCGCTAGGGCCATCACCCATTTTACAGATGGACAATCTAAGGCCCAGCACAAAGTTATCCTCAATGAGACATCCTACTTCCCTCCCCAACCCATCACGTCCCCTGGAGATCATCAAATGCCCCACCGACTCAGGCTCCCCCTCCTCTGCTCCTTGTTCCTGCAGCTTCCAGAAGTCTGCGGATGCGTATTCCCATGGGGCCTGTGGCCTTGGCAGGGATTTGTAACTCACCCGCCACCTCTGGCCGTACCCCCAGCACTGAGGAGCTAGCCAGGCTGGCTGCTTACCAGCAGGTCAGAGACCAGGGGCACTGGAGGTAGAAGTAGGGGGGGACCCAGGGACACTCTGGGACTTTTCCAAGGACTGAAAATGTCTTCTCCTCAGTGGGCCCAGGAGCAAGGATGCTGGACAGAGGGAGCGGCTCTGAGCCCTGGCCGGGCAGTCAGGCCTGGCCAGTCACTGAGGAACCTGGACTGAAACATTCCCTGGTCCCCTCCCAGCACCAACTCTGCACAGTGGGGGCACCTGGCCTGCAGGCTCCTCCAGCCCAGGCCATGGCAGATGGGAGCCCCATGACTGCCTTTGAAAGAATCTGCTTTTGGGGTTCTGTGCTGCTTAACCAAAACCACTGCCAACACATCCAACCCAGGGCAGCGGTAAAGGTGGTGGGGAGAAGGATAGGTGACAGTCAGGAAAGTGAGGGGTGGGGATCATACTCACTCCTCTTGCTTGATGCCCAGCGACTCCCCCTTGTCGGTGCTCAGTGTGCCTGCACCCTGCCCATAGCCGTAGCCTTTGGGCCCATACTTCTTGCCATAGCAGGACTTGCAGTAGATCTCCTCTCCATGCACGGCCACGGTAGTGCTGTCCAGATTCTTCTTGCACACCACTGTAGAGGGGAAGTGTGGGCAGAGTGAGCCGCTTGTTTCTGCGAGTCCTCCCCCACCCTCCACCTTCTGTAGCTGAGGCTCCCAGGCACTTTGCATACAGGACATCCTCCAGCATTCAGGAGAGGTCTCAAGGTGGAGGATGGGCTGCTGGCCAAGCTGCTGGAGGGCAGGGGAGGGCTCTGCATGGGCAACTCCAGGGTGCTGACCCAGTCATGTTTTCTGGGAATCCATAGGGGCACCCTGTACCTCCCCAGGCTGCAGCACAAGTTTGCCCAAGTGCAAACTCTGCCCAAGTTTCAGAGGCAGCAGCCTAAGCCAACCTCAAGCCTGAGGAGGTCAGCTGAGGTCCTGCACTCCAGCGTTGACCAACAGACGGCGTGTCCCAAAAGGAGAGACCAGAAAGGAAGGAAGAAGGGCAGGGTCTTCCTGTCTGCAACAATGGAACTCAGGAAGGTAGACGTGAACAGGCTCCGGGGAGGTAGGACAGGGTTACTGCAGTGACCCACCCAACAGTGCCCAAGAAGGTGGGCTTGGACATGAGATGGGGGTCTCGCTCATCACAACAGGGTGTGCAGTTTTGGATCTCAGAAGACACTCTGCCCCAGGAACATGTGAAGTCAGACCCTGGGACATAGTTCCTGACTGTGAGGTTTCAGAAAGATGGGAACGGGCCGAACCTGAAAGCTGGGTGCCATCTGGGGTTGAGCAGTTCTGAGCCCTGGGGCCAGGACTGCCAGGAGGGTCAGAACCAAGTTGCGGGACTCTCCCTGTCCATCTGGAGCAGATCATTTTGTATTCCAGGCTTAGTGTTCTTATCTGCAGATGATATGATAATGTCTGCAGATGAGATCTGCTATGCCAGGTGCTCAGCACACTGCCCTATACACAGCAGGTGCATAACAAATATAGGCACCTCTTACCAATACCAATGGAGACAAGGAAGGGGAAAGAGCAGCCTAGATCTCATGAGATTATAACTGTTGGTTTTCCTCCTTCTCTTTTAGAGAAAGAAATAAATTTTTCACTTGCTCATTCATCTCCAAATGGTTACATCTAGGGCCTGGCCAAGCTGGGAGCCTGGAACTATATGGGGGGCTGGGGCTCAAAGACTTGAACCATCTGCTGCTGCTTTCCCAAGGAGCATTAGCAGGGAGGCAGATAGGAAGTAGAGCAGCCGGGACTCAAACTCAGCATTCATGTGGGATGCTGGTATCACCAGCACTGGCTGAGGCTGCACCATAGCACTGGGCCCAATCATAGCTTCTGATTTTCAATTACCTCTGTTAAGAGAACAGCCTCACTCAATTTTTTTTAGGTCTCACTCTGCAATCCTAAATGGGTCCCAGGACATTCCTTAAACACTATAGCTCAGCATGCCCACATGGACTACATCCTACAGGCAGAACCCCAGGGACATGCGCAAGTCATGCCCTGGCTCTCATCCCTTCCTTTAAAGGGTCCAGGCCTCCACCATTCCTTTCTAGCCCAGAGTCCCAGGTCCAGAGACTTCAGACTAAATAAGGCCCCTCTTGTGCTGCCCTGTTGATCTCCTCTTCATTCCAGCTCTCTGGCCATCCAAATATGGACCCTCCCACCACCCCCTTGGGGCTTGGCTCTGGGGAAAGGAGGGAACAAGAGGCCAGGACTGTAGCATTCCCTTCTAGGGCGGGAAGTCAGCACTGGTCTGGAATGGGTTCCCGAAAGACTGAGCAGGACTGAGCAGGACTGGGCATTCCAGGACCAGGGTGGAGGCAGAGAGCCAAGATAAGAGTGGGGAAAGAAACTGCAGGTGGCTTGAGGCTCAGGCCTCCAGGTGGAAACCCAGGAACTCATGGACAACACCTCAGGCTGCAAACTGACACCCTCCACTTCCCAGCATACGGTCCCCTTGCTGGGCTGACCACCACTCCCTGCCTCCCACTCTGTGGGAGGTTCTCTCAAAGGAGGTCACCTGACCTGGCCCTCTTCCAGCACCCTCTGTGTCCAGGCCCTCTAGCAGGTGATGGACTAAGGACCCAGCTCAGTGGAAAGCCCCAGTAAATCCAGCAGAGGGGAATGTCAAAACAAGATCTAAATGTATTTCTACTAGATCACATGAAGCCAAAACGAGGCAGGATCCGTTAGTGCCCTTGCTGGGTACCTGTGCTTTCAGCTGCCCCTTAAGGTAGTGACAATCCAGTCCTGGGGAGAGTGCAGAGAGATTCTCTTCCTCTAAGAGGAACACTGCGGCTCATGCAGGTGGCTAGAGACAGGGTCAACCCAGAACCTCGACGGCAGGCCTGGCTGTTTATTACCACCTCCAGTGGCCAAGCGGGGTGGGGGGCACTGGGAGGGCAAGCAAGGCCTCAGCGAGCTACCACCGCTCTGGGCTCTTTGATCACTGGGAGCAACTCAGGGCCAACCTGCCTGGTTCAGTTCCATCAAGCCATTGCCACAGGGTGAGGACAGACCAGCACTTTCCCACAGGGTTGCCTGCTCAGCCCCAGCTGTCCATCCGGAAGAGCTGGGCACACAGCCTGAGGGAAGACTCCCAGCCTCAGAGCTGATGGGAACTGGCTGCCCCTCCGGAGATCATGGGGGTGGGGAGAAGGGCAAGTGCTTCTGCTCCTGTTTCCAGGTCAAGGGCCAGCCCAGGGCATAGGTGGTTTTCCCCTAATTAATTGCCTGTCTTCCTGCTCATCCCAGACCAGTAGAAAAGCTGACACAATCCATTGCGAAAGGCCCAAGGGGCCAGAGAACTCTGTTGGGGGACCACCCCCAAGCCTGGCAAGCAAGGGATGGTTCTGCTGGCCACCAGACCCAGAGCTTTCTTTAGGAGGGCAAGTCTTAGATTTTGTGGGTTATCCCAAATTTAAGTCATATATTGAGCACGCACTTGAACTTGACCCAAAAAGGGAAATGACATGCCTGCCATTCATAAATAAATGTTTGTCAAAAGTCCACCAAAGGGCCAGCCTTGTGGTACTAGCTACCAGTTCAAGTTCTGGCTGTTCCACTTCTGATCCAGCTACCTGCTAATGTGCCTGGGAAGGCAGCAGAGAATGGTTTAAGAGTTTGACCCATGTGGAGGGCCTGGCCCAGCCTGGGCTATTGCAGCCATTTGGGGAGTGAACCAGTGGATGGAAGATATCTCTGTCTCTACCTCTATGCAACTCTGCCTTTCAAATATATTTTTTTAAATCCTTAAAAAAAAAAAGCCCATTAAGCGGCAGGCTCAATTCTAGGTGCTGGGAATAAGCCTGGCTGGAGTCGCTGGATGCTGCTAGAGTCTGTGCAGGGCACAGTGATCTAGCCAGAGCTGTGATGCCCCAGCCAAACACTGGCCTAAGGGCCAGAGACAGGAGGCTGTCCCCTGGAACTACTAGTTGCACAACACACCCACCCCCAGCCTCTCACCAGCCAGATCTCCACAACTGTGCCTAATCCCCAACACCCCCACCCGCCCCCAGGCCCGTTCGTTCCTTCCTTCCCTCTGCCACCCCCTGCATTCCTGCCTTCCCCCAGTGCCTGACCCACAGCTACTTCTCCAAAGCAGGACGCAGGGGGCAGATGCTCTCAGCCAAGACAGGGTGGAAGGAGGGCTTAGGACCCTCTTCCCAGCCAGCGCCGGGCCCTTCCGGACTCTCTCCAAGAAAACCACTGCCTTGTACATTCCTCCAAAGAACATGAGCTGCTGACGCTGACGAGAGCCTGCTGCGTCCAGGCCCTCTGCAGCTTGGAAGCCAACAGAGCTCAGCTTCAGGGTTTGTTCATACTCCATCCATCATGGTAGTCTGGGGCTGTCACTGCAGGCCCTTCTGCCCATCTGTGGGTAGATGATCTTGGGTCCTGCAGGATCCTATGGGGAGTACAGCCACTAGAAACAATGGAGAACTGCTTTGTCTCCCAGACTCTGAAGTGGAAGAAATAAATAAGAGCTCACTTCCTGCCTGTCCAGGTGGACTGTGAGGTCTGGCTGGGGACCCCAGCAGTGCACATGGAAGGCTGTCTGGGAGTCTACCATTCCCTATATTCCAATTGCTCTGAGAGCTTCACTTGCTTTATAAGCTCCTTTCATTTTAGTTCTCACAACAACCCAACGAGGCCTGATCATCCCCACTGTAAGCAAGGGAAAACTCGGCCAGAGAGAAACAGAGTCCCCCATCCATCCTTATACAGACAGGAAACACAGAAATCAGACACGCTCCCGGGGCCTGGCTCTGAACTCTACCTGTTCACTCCCACTGGGGGAGGGGCACCTGTCACTCCCACCCTGCAGGATGTTGCACCAGTGGGAGCAGCCCTCCACCCGCCCCCCACTTCTAACCCAGACCTTGGGTATGATGATGTAGGAATCCGAGGGAGGCTTCCCCAAATTGCTGCTTCCTGGAAACCATCTTCCCATCCCAGAGGTGTGAGCCCTGCAGGCTTGGACCTCCCACACCTGCCTGCTCTCCTGCTCACCCCAGCCTGCACTGCAGCATCTATTCAGGATGGTCAGCAGCAGAAGTCCCAGCCCTCCGGGCTGCCTCTCGTCCCAAACTGGCCAGGTAATGGAGGACTGAGCAGGGCATACTGCCCTTCCTGCCTCCAGTGTAACCTTCCTTAAGATGGTGACAATCAGCTAGCACAACTGCCCATTCTAACTGCCTTCTTCTAAGCTAAGGGATGGTGGTGGCAGAAACGAGAAGGTTGAGTGGAAAGTTTTCCTAATCCAGTGTTTCCAGCTTGGCCTACAGCCCTGAAAGCAGCCCCCCCCTTCCCCTGCTCCCCGCCCCGCCCCACTCCCTTGCTTTGGCCAGTTCACCCCTTAGAAAACAACTTCTGGAAGGAACAAAGAGGCCCTAAATGCTTCCCCTCCCCAGCGGAACCATAGCCAAATGTCAAGCTGTTTACATCCCATGGGACCAGCTCCCTGGGGTGTTGGCAGGCCTAGATCCCCCACCCCCATAGCTATCAGCAGTCAGCAGGACCCAGCCAGGCAGTACTTACTACACAGGAAGCAGGATTTATGAAAGCTGTGGCCTTCACATTGCACCTCCTCGGCGAAGTACACCGTCTTCTGGCACACCCCACACTTCTTGCCTCCTCCCCAGTTCGGCATTCTGAAAGGGTCAGAAACTGGAATTTAGTGCACAGGGAGAGGCACATGCAGATTGTCCATGGTGTAAAGTAATGGACAGGGGCCAGCACTACAGGGCAGTGCGCTAAGCCACTGTCTTCAATCGCAGAATTCCATGTTACAATGGCCAATTCAAGTCTCAGCCGTTCTACTCCCAATCCAGCTCCCTGCTAGTGTGCTTGAGAAAGCAGGAGAGGATGACCCAAGTCCTTGGGCCCCTGCACCCACGTGGGGAGGCTTGGATGGAGTTCCAGGCTCCTGAAGCCCTCCCTGTCTCCCTCACATGGCCATGCTGCTTTTCAAAACAGGAGAGGAAGATGAAGGTGGGACTTCCCCGTCCTGGTAAAGAACTTCCCCACTGTCCATAATGGCTTCCTCAAACTGCTACGCACAGGCTTGCTCCCCAGATGCAACCAACAGCTGGTTACATAGCAATCTCTGCACCAAGACACTTCCAAAATTTGTGGAAATGGAATCGAAAGGTTTTGGTGCAAGAAACCATGAAATCCACACATAGGTATTTTCTAATACACATGCCCTTTAACATTTGAAAGAGCAGTCTGAGGGATGCTCTGAGCATGACCCACTTTGTAAAGGAGGTCACAATGGCCCCAGAAGTGAACCATCACCACCACGTGTTCCAGTGGGGATGAAGTTCACATAGCGTGAAATCAAGTCAACAGGCAGACCAGCACTCAGCAGACCTGAATCTGTGTGTAGTAAGCTTGTTGAGGGGCAAACAGATGGGATGACAGGGACCACAGGGATAGGTGTCATGGCATGGTAGCTCAGGACACCTCCAGTCCCCATGAGTGCCTGGCTCGGAGTCCTGGCTCACAAGTCCAGCTTCCTGCTGGTGAACCTCCTCAAGTGCTTGGGTTCCTGCTACTCACTTTGGAGACCAGGATAGCGTTTTGGTTTTGAGCTGGTCCAGCCCCAGCAGTTGTGGGCATTTAGAGAGTGGCCCAACAGAGGAATGCTCTTTCTCTCTGCTCTGCCTTTCAAATCAATAAATATTTAAAAGAGGTATCACAGAAAAGCAAGGAAACACTGCTCACCAGTACACCCCTGAGACAGGGGTGAACACAACTTTGGGGATAGGAGGATGTTAAGGCCCCAGCAGTATTTTTCTTAAGTGGGAGATTGTCACAGACTTTTAATTATACACAAAGCTGTCCTGTGCTGTTTTGTACATAAGACAGTGCTCGCCAAAACAACAGGTTAAAAATGTGTAACAAATCAGAGAGTTGGCACAGAGCGCCAAGTTCTTGGCCTTAGGAAACATAAGCATGAGGAGGAGGCAACAACATGGAAGAGGAGGGGACGCCCTTGACCGGCAGTAAGTGCTCACAAATGATCCTTCATGCAGGAACCCAGGGTGACACATATGATGACACCTCGGCTCTGTGTCTGATTCAGCTAAGGGTAGACAGGCAGGTGGTAAGTAGGCAGTGAATAGTGAATGCATGGAACCTGCTTGTCTCCTGATGTGTCTCCAGGAGCAAGGTGACCTCCTCGCTCTGCCCACACAAGTCCCTAAGCAAGGGTACCACACAAGACACAGCCAAGGGTGGGAGTCACTGTGGTTTCTGGTCAGGACCAGGTCCAGATGGAGCCCAGCACCGGGCACAGCACCATGCTCATACAGGTGTTCAGAGACTCACCAAGCAGGAAATAAAAGGATATCCTGATACTAAAACCATGCTGGGGTCACATGCTTTGCAGGGGCGATCTCTGTACCCCAGGAACCCAGGTGTGCTCAGGACACACCTGCAGGGTTTCAGGTGTGGGAAGTGGGGCTGTGGCACCAGTTCACCCCTGGGCACCAGGGCTGCAGCATCCCTGAGATGACAGGAGGAAGAGACACAGGCTCACCCCATATCCTAAAAGTTGGGGCTCCCTCTGGTCCCACCCTGGAACTCCTTGCTCCTCAGTCTCCTGCATTCCCCCTATCCATGTCACCTCCATGTCAAGGACTCCCACATATCTTTGTCCTTAAACCCCTTTGTGCCAGGCTCATACAGCCAATGCCAGGGAACACCTGTACCAGGTGCTTGGTTTTCGAGCCTGCACAGCGATGTCTACCTGTTTTCCAGCTCTGCCTCGCACATCCTCTGAATTGGTCATCTATCCCCGCATTTGGTCCCCACAATGCCCCCCCCCAGCAAGACCTGTCATGCAGGGAGCTCCTGGGCCTGCCTGTGTAAGGTACTAGGGTGGTCAAGCTGGAATGGAGGGCTGAAGCCAGAGCCCACTGTCCTCTGCCTGGGGGTCCTCATGGATCATCAGGCACTGCATATCCCTGATTTTTCATTTTCCAGGTTCTGGTCCAGAGAAGTTTGGTGAATTGCTGCATATCACTGATACATCTGTTAGCAGGTGCACCTAACTCCTTCAGTTTCCACCTTTCATTCCCCCAAAGAACTCCCAGGTTCTGGGACCAATCCCTACCCATGGTCTATGAAGTTCCACTGCTCCATCAGCTGCCCTCTGTCCTGGAGGGGACAGAAATCAGCTGCTTTGGTTGAGCAAGGACCCAGGGCTGCAAGTCCTGACACAGTGAAGGACAGTGAAGTCAGCAGGCGTGACTGTCACCTCCCCACCAGCCATTACTGCCTGCTTCCTAGCCATGGAGCCTCCAGTTCTATTCAGGCAGTCACTACTCCACCATCTCCCATCTAGGGACCCGGCCTGAGTCACCAGAAGAGGCAGCAAACACCTCCACTCCACAGACAAGGCACACACAGCTCTGAGAGGTGAGACAGCTTGTGCATAGCCACACAGCCAGAAGAGGCAGGACCCGAACTGTGTGCTGTGCCCCTGGCATGGGGAGTGTCTGCATAAGGTGGCACATGTGCAACAGCCTGGCCCTTCTTTCTTGCTCTCGCCTCCTCCAACCCCCTGAGCTGGCAGGAGTGGGGTGAGTGTGCCCAGGCTCCCAGGAACATCCCTGGGGGAGGAAAACTCCCCCCAGCCACGTGGTTGTTCCCATCCCAAGCAGGGTTTTGTTCCCTGATACAAAAGCTCTTCTTCCTGGGGGAAACCCACAGCTCCTACAGGCCTCCCCTTGTTCTCCCTGGCCCTGGTCAGAGCCCTGATCCAACAAGTCCTGGGTGAACCAGCCAGGAAAGTCTGCCCAGGACACCTCGTGCTGGGCCAGTCCTCTGAGCCTGGCCATTTGGCTGGGGGTCTCTCCAGAGGAGCCCACTAATGGCACAGGGGGGTATGAGATGGACAAAGCAGCTGCATCCACAGCCAGGAGAGGGTCCAGCAGCCCATGTGTCATGCCCTTCACTCCCCGGTGCCACCTGGAATCCTGGCTGCCTCCTTCCTTGCTTGCTCTCTCCTTTTCTCTCTAGCTAGCCTGGCTGGAGGAAGGCTGGATTGCCTTTCTAGGAAACCTATAGGCTCCACCTCTCAGCTGGCTTTCCAGTCCTGTGGGGTCAGTGGCTGCCAGGGGACGGGAGGAGGGGAAAGAGGGAGAAGTTCCTGAGATCAGAGTTCAAACCATGCTGGTTCTGCAACCGGGGTACCAGCCATGAAACAGGTCAGATAGCACCTTCCTCCATGCAGGGGCTGGGGCACATTACTTTTGAAGCTTGATTTGCTCACCTCTGAAGTGGGCCCATGATCCTTGGGGACTGGGTTCTGAGGATGACATAATACAGAAGTGATGGCTCAGCCCCTGGCAGAAGCTTGCTCCTTCAGTGACCACCACCTCCGGGACTGGCCCAGCAGCACCTCAACACCACCTAGTACCCAGCCAGAAGGCTTCTCTGCTTACCACCAAGCCTACTTCTGGAAGGGGTGTGGCCTGAGAATAGTGTGCCAAATAGGGGCCAGGAGTTCACCTGCCATTTGCTAGCCCAGCTAAGCAGCCTGGACAAGTCTAGTACTCCTTGAGGGTTCTGTTCCCCAGGGCCACAAGACTATGAGCAGGACTTATGTCTCTGCACTAAGCTGATTTGTGTGTTGGGTTCTTGAGTGGGAGGGGCTGAGAGGAGTCAGATGCACCTACCTTCCAGGCGTGTCAGTGATAGGCAGCTGGAGCTGCTACGTGCCCACCCCAGCCAACACACCATACCCTGCTGTGCTCCAGCACCACTGGGCATTGCCATTTGTTCTACAGCTGCTTCACCTATAATGTCAGGCCACCACCATCACACTGGGGCAGGCTGGAGGCTAGAAGCCAAGGGGCGGGCTCGGTGGTGTGGCTTAGCAGCTAAAGTCCTCCCCTTGAACGCACCGGGATCCTATATGGGCACTGGTTCTAATCCCGGCAGTTCCACTTCCCATCCAGCTCCCTGCTTGTGGCCTGGGAAAGCAGTTGAGGACAGCCCAAAGCTTTGGGACCCTGCATAGGTGTGGGATACCCGGAAAAAGTTCCTGGCTCCTGGCTTCGGATTGGCATAGCATCAGCCTTTGCACTCACTTGGGGAGTGAATCATTGGATGGAAGATCTTCTTCTCTGTCTCTCCTCCTCTCTGTATATCTGACTTTCCAATAAATAAATAAATCTTTAATAAATATATATATATAAAAGAAGCCAAGGGGCTAACATCTCCTATAGTCAGCTAACTCTGAGTATGGGGCTCAGCCCTCTCAGGCTGGCTGTCTCATGAGGATCCATGTCCAGTACCCAGTCTTGTGGGAGAGAAGTGTGGGGTGGGGCTGTACAGTAGACGGGGAAGGGGCTGACTCAGGGCACAGACCCCACCCAGCCCACCCCAGTCTCACAAGATCAGGAGAGGTGATAGGGCCAGACAAGTCCAAGGCACCATCTCAACAATGGACAATCCACCTTGGGGGGCTGAAGGAGGGCCCCTCCCCTGCCCCATCCCTTGACAAACCTCGGCTTTCTTTTTGCAGTGGGAAACACCCACACCTCCCAAGGTAGCATCACTGGCTCATGGATGTACCGTGTGAACGTTCCCCACGCTGTGGGTTCGGTAATTACACACACACACACCATCCCTCTCCCACCTCTGCTGGCTGGTTTCAACCACAGCCTAAGCCTGCAGGGGGCCATCCACCCATCCAACCAGCAACTCCACCTCCTTCCTCCTTGTCCCAGCCCTCAGGGCAGCAGCCACCAGGGCCTGAGAGCAAACAGACAGGGAGACAAGAGCCCCTCCCATCGTGTGCAGAGCTCTTTTTGGGTGGTGCCACCTGACTGTCTAAGAAAGAGGCCTCCCCTGCAGATAACGGCCTGGGGTCAGGAGGCAAGGCTGGCCTAGAGAAGGGACGGGCTGGGAAGGGGCACTTACACACCCGCCACGAGGTCTGGTCAGAGCCACTCGGCAGCACCAGAAAGCTGTGGTCATCGCGGGGCTAGGGCACCCCAACACCTGCCCCTTCTCTGGGCTACACCCATTCTCTCTCCCAACATATGCCTATGACGTATGTGCCACTGTGAGCTGCCTCTCCCTTTGCCCACCTGTCCCTTGCTGCCTTTCCTAGCTCAGTCCTCCCAGGAAACCTCCAGATCACATCCACGTAGAAGCAGGGGCCATGGATTTCAAAGAATCACAAGGTCGCACAGGTGCCTGGATCCAGGCATTGGGCTTTAGAATGATGTCACTTCTGCGTAGGAACAGTTATCCTCCACTGAGCAAGAAGGTCTGGGTAAGTTCTCTTTAAAAGTAAAAACAAATGAGGCCTCACAGGCACGCAGGAAGCGCCATCCCACGCCAACTCCCACTTGGAGAGCCAGTTCGCGGGGCAGCAGCGGGGGTGGGGCTGCCTGGCTGCGACCCAGGGCAGGGACCTCCCTTCTCTTCCTGTCACCACCGCCCGCAGAGGCCACAGTCAGACGCTGCCTTCCGGCCTTCGGCCTTCGGGAGGTGCTGGAAAAGCCCGAGTCTGGATGCTGAGCTGCCCCTGTATTTACACACTTTACCATACAAGGGAATCACTTCTTGCTGGCGGCAGACGAATTCCTGGGGCTGTGCGTACAGCAGCCACGTCATTACCATATAAATCCCTGACAACTGCAAACAGCAGGCAGCTGTGGCTGGGGCTGACCTCAGGAGCCCACCCTCCCCCGCCCCACTCCCCGCCACCCCCAGTCTGTCTCATTTTTCTCCTTTTTTTTTTTCTCCCTCTTGCAACTCTTTTCTGCAAACCTGGTCACCACACTCACTAACATTATCAGATTTGGTGGAAGGGCCTCAGCTCCTCCTCCCCAGCCAGGCAAGTACAAACCTGGAGTTGGTAAGTGCTCTCCAGGGCCCGTCCCCACCACCTCCTCCTCCTCTCCAGGCTACTGTTAGCCAAGGCCCTTCACAAAGGCAGCTGGTTCCTGAAGGAGTCCATCTGCAAAGGGAACTATGAGGGTCCGGACTGCACAGCAACTCCACAACCAGCCGGCAGCAACCCTGAGCCAGCTACTGAGCAGCCCAAGCCTCAATGTTTTCATCTGCAGAATGGAGCATATCAGCACCTGCTTCCCGTGAAGTCTTAGCCAGGGCCCAGCCCTCCTATGACCTACAGTCAGGCCAGCTCTGACACTCATGGTTTAGTTTTGGGTTTCTTGAGATGCTGACCCTGGAGGAAGGAAGGGGAAGGGGACAAGGGTCTTTTGAAGTCTCCCTGGCACCTCCAGGGATCGGTTCAGCACCAGCCTCCCCAGCTTACAGCCCTCTAACAAGCTATCTTCGGACAATAAGCCAGGTCTTACTGCAAACCAGCAAAGCCAGCAGAGCAGAGGCACAATGAGGCCCAGGATTCCCTTTCCCCACCTGCTCATTAATACCACCCACAGCAGAAACCAACCAGGGGACTCTCTCCCAGGAGCACATAGTTGGGCAACAGGGACCAGAAACGCATCACTGCCTGTTCATTGCTGACCACCAAATGTCAACACCAAGGGCTCCCAGCAGAATCTCTGGTCTGGTAAAGCTCACTGGCAACGGAGGAGTGCCAAGTGCCGTGCGCAATAAGAAAAGCAAACACCTGCGCCAGGAAGGCAGGCACGAGGGCGGACCAAAGACAAGGTTTCTGTTCTCCACACCCACGGCCCCTTCCCAGCCTCCCCAAACTGGGCAGCTCAATACTCCCTTTCCTCTTCTAACACAAACTCCAGCCTCTGCAGATCAGCTTCCTTCCCCAGCCGCCAAGCAAAGGGTGGCTAATTGAGCTTTCAGCCAAGCTGGAATACAAGGGGTGTGCGTGCAGACAGCTGGCCAAGGGCAGAGGGCAGGTTCTCTGGTTCTCTCCAAGAGGGAAGCTCAGCGCCCTGGTCCCAAAGCCTCCCTGGGGATCTCTCCACGCTGTGAGATGACAGGGACAGCGGGCAGCCAGCACTGCCAGCCAGCTTAGTTGAGGGGAGGAGGACCAGGAAGAAGGCAGCAACTGAGCTACTGCTTGGAGGTTCCGCATGTACGTCACTTGCCCAAAGTCAGCAGTCTATTCATGCGCAAATCCAAGAGCCAAAATGTATTTGTCTGCCTCCCACCCAGAGTCCAGGCCCCCTTCTCATGGCAGATTTTGTCCTGGAGCCTTCCTCACTCTGTGTCTTTGTGACATGCACCCAAGGTAGAAGGAAAAGGGGTGACCGAGTTGTTTACACCCCAAAGGAGTAGAGGTGGGGGCCCTGGACTGTGAGCAGAGGATGTGCCTACATTATTGCCACCAAGGAGCACCTGCTTAAGGCTAGACAGCAACAAGAACCAGGAACCTGCAGAACACTCCCACCCAAGCTAGGGGAAGAATACCTGAAGAGAAGGTTGAAACTTGCTTTAAACGTACCCCACTTTCCCCAATAAATAGGAACTTCTTAGACAGGAAAAGAAACGTACCCCACACCCTTTTCTTGCCGCACAAGTCACTTTTTCGGGTTTCAGTCTTGGCCAAGGCCCCGCGGTGTAGAGGAGCCGTTAGCGCCATCTGGTTCTTTCCGAAGAGGGAAAACCCACGCCTGCACTCACGGATGCCCAGGGCCTGGCTTCAAAGTCAGATGTTCCCCACCCCACCCGCGAGCCTTTTTCTCGGGGAGCATGCGGGTGAGGGCGGGGGTGGCACGGATACCCTCAGCTCTCAGCCATACAATGAGCGACAGTGCATCACAGAATCGCCGATTGTTCTGCCCGGGTCGCCCTGGGTCAGGAGCGCACAGCGCCGTGGTAACCCACGATGTCCAGGCATCCCCGGGGGGTCCACCTGGAAACAGAAACACCGCCTTGGCCTGGCGGCCACTTTCCACAAGTCCTCTCCCGTGGCCACGGCTCCCCCGCCACAGGAGCCGCCTTCCTTTCCGGCAAACTTTCCTTGCAAGGCACAGAGGAGCGGGAGCGTCCCCGCGAGGCGCTGGGGGGCCCTGGGCAGAGCGGGCGTTGCGGGGGACGGGCGGGCGCGCACTCACCTGGCGGCGGGGTGGGCGCGCGAGCGGACAGGCGCGGTCGGGAGCAGCGGCTGGGGACGCCCGCGCCGTGCGCCGTTTTGTTCCGCTCTGGGGAGGGCGTGGTCCGCCCCGCGCCAACCAGTGGGCTTTGCACACTGCCCCGAGCCGGCTGATGTCACCGCGTGCGGCCGGGCCAGGCCGGCCGGGACCCTGGACTTCCAGGGGTGGGTGTGCGCGCCCCGCCGCCTTGGCTGCGGGGTGTCTTTCGGATTTCCCTGTTAGCCGGAGAGTCCTGGGCAGAGAGAAGACAGTGTTCCCACCCTTTGCCATTGGGATGTCCTTTTTAACGTTTGGTGAGATCACACACTTGATGGAGAAGTTTAGGGGAGTGGGGGAGTTTGAGATGCATGGAGACTGGATGAAATCCGATGTCCTTGAAACTTAACACATTTGTGTGGCAGAGCTCTAATGGGCTGGTTTACTCCCCAAACTGGAACTTCATGGGTTTCCATTAGATTGGCAGCCTGGAGCCACATAATGGAAGTGTGGCGGGTGCTTCCTGAGGTCCCACTGGCCCTGGGGACACGGTATGACCCAAAGTGACAAGTGACCCAAAGTGCCTTAGCATGGGGCAGGCACTGTAAGAGTTAACGCCCTCCTCCAACAGCACCGGTGTCCCCAGCTCTCCACCCGCACAAGTCTCCCCAGTCACCAACCTGGCTTACCCTAAAGGGAGCAGGTCCGTTTTCCTTGGGCCTCCGGCCTTCACCTTGAAGGTCACTGTCTCAGTTCACTCCCCTTTGCCCACAGGGCAGTTCCACTGACTATTGCACCTGCAGCCCCTCCTGCCACATTTCAGGGGCAGAACTGTGGGAAGACCTGGCCCCTTTCTTGGGCTGGGGAGCTGTTCCCCAGCCTGATAATGTGAACAGAAGGGCTCTCTGGAAGCTTCTGATAGGGAGAGAAGCAGAGATAGACTTTAAAGAAGGGAAAATTTCCCTGTCTTCAATCTTGCCCCACTCCCCGTGTCTGGGGCTTTTGGGTTTGGGTCTGCAGGAGCATGGAGAGTGTGCAGGGGGTCCCGGCAGTCGGGAAGGGCCAGGAAGGAGGGAGCCTGTGGACTCTACGCACATTGTCTTCTAGCTTTGTCACTTGCTCAAATCAAGGGCTGTTTGGAATCAAGGGCTGAAGCCAAGGCTCCTTCTCCAGGATGGAATTCGCTGTTTGCAACAAGTGCACAGGTGGTCCACATGCTCCTGTCTCGTGTGTGTACTTGAGTGGGACTGTGTGTGTTGTCTAGTTGTGTCTGGCTGCTTTCTCTTCACCTAGAGCATGCCCATCAGGAAGCACACGCCTTCCTTCTGGGCGTATTGTGCACAGTGTTCGTGACAGGTCCCAGGAGGATTGCCAAGCAGCTGGGTGCCCCTCACCCAGGGGTTGCCAATGGATATAGCTGCCACATCTTCCACCATGAATGGTGAAGGGTCCCCCACAGCTCCATTTAAAGCCCCACATTGCAGGAATAAAGCAATGGGTCCCATGATACAGAAAACACTCTATCTCAGTTTTTCTGGCTTTTAACTGTAAGAAACACCTTTCCATTTTCCAAGCCCATCGCACAAGCGAAGGCTTCCAGGACCAGAATGTCACCAGCTTTCCTTTTAAAAAAGAATTAATTGATTTGTATTTGAATGACTAGTTTGCAGAGAGAAGAAGAAAGAGAGGAGACAAAGCCTGGAACCAGGAGTTTCTTCTGGGTCTTCCATGCGGGTGCAGGGCCAAGGACTTGGACCATCCTCCAGTGCTTTCCCAGGCCACAGGCAGAGAACTGGATCAGAAGTGTAGCAGCCAGGACTGGTGCTGTAGGCAGAGGATTAGCCTATGGAGCTAATCGACTGCAACCTTCCATCCCCTAACCAGCAGCTCTCCTTCAGGCTGAGCCATCCTCAGCTGACTCAAGTGAAATGTGGAAAGACAAGCCAGAAGAATCCCTGGTTATGCCTGCATTGAGCAAGTAACAGATGAGCAGGTAACATTGCAGTCACGGTCAATGGCAGAGACCATGGGCTTGCTGCCCAGAGATGGCCACTCCAGGGAGGCTTCACGTCGTCCCTACAACTCTTGGTACTAGGAGATGTGAGCTGTGGGGTTCTGCCTAAGATTTCACAAAAGCACAGTCTCCTCTATTTCCTTCTTTGGTCTGGATTTGTTCTCTCTGGAGCCTTGGGACTGTTAAACAAATGTCCTCATCAGGGTGTGCTAACCTGTTCTGTGAGATGTCGGTAGGGAAGGTGCAGGAGCAGGGGAGAAACAGCTGCAGTCACTCGTGGCTTCCCCCAGGCTCTCCAGGCACCTTGTAAATGGCATGGCTGCTCGCTGCATCATCCCCGCTGGAATGTGCTGGGTAGTGAGTCATATTGGAGTTGCATTCATAACTATACTAAGGCAACACCGCCGTCCCAGGCCATCCAGGAAGGAGGATTACCCTGATTTTCCATATAGAGACTGTGCTGGAGTTTTTGTCTGGCAGGGGAGAGGGCAGAGCGGTGGTACAGGAGGTCAGGCAGGCAGCATCCCAACTGCTGTCCTGCCAGGACCTCACGCCCTTTGGCTACATTGCCCTCCCTGAACCACCTGCGCTTGCCCCCTCAGGCACAGACCCAGATGGAAGGATGGACTTAGTAATTGAGCTAAACCAAAATAGGACCCAGGGTTGGAGATGGAGTGGGGCAGGTCCACTTTAGCGAGAGCTGAAGGAGAGCAGGCTCTGAACCCCCAAAGGACACCAGTACTGAAGAGTGACTGAGAAGGAACCATCAGAGATAGGGGACAACAACCAGGTCACAGAAGGAGCTGTGGCAGATGCTGTTCTTACAATGCTGGGAGACAAGGGAGGAGGAACAGGGCAGGAGAGCCAGGACAGGTGAGTGCAGGCATCAGGACCCCCAAGCAAAGCAGTGCCATCCATTCTTTTTAAAGACATTTCTTTTTTACTTGAAAGACAGATTTATAGAAAGTTCTTTTATCCCCTGGATTCACTCCCTAAGTCGCTGCAACAGCCAGAGCTGAGCTAATCTGAAGCCAGGAGCTTCTTCCAGGCTCCCCGTGCAGCTGCAGGATCCCCAGGCTTTGGGCTATCCTCTACAGCTTTCCCAGGCCATAAGCAGGGAACTGAATGGGAAGTAGAGCAGCCAGAATACAAGCTGGCACCCATATGGGATCCCAACTCTTGCAAGGCAAGGATTCAACCACTGAGCCGTCACACCAGGACCCAGTGCCATCCTTTTTGTGCTGAGCTATTCAGTGGGCCCTCCACACACAACTGCCCTCAACATGTGCAGGGAGAGGGGATCTTCTCAAGATCTAGGAGGGACTGAGGATCCTATGGAGATGGCGAGACCAGCTTGGGAAATACAAAGCAAAGTGGGCTGCTGAGGTCACTGGGAAGTGCGAGGTCTTGCAGGCTCCGGCAGGAAGCTCATAGACCATGACAGCTGTTGGCTATCGGTCAAGCCAATGCAGATGACAGCAGGTGGCTGTTAAGGGCTGAGGACATGCTGGGCTCCTGACACTGCTGCTTGCCCATCTTCCCTGTCATGGACCCATCGGAGGGCCATTTTGGACTCCGGAGTTGCATACCAGGAAGCCAGGACGGAGTGCTGCAGCTAACTGGGTGATGACACAAGCGTATCCAGACTCAGCTCTCCCCATGGCTGAGGAGAGGGGGCACTGCCTCAGGGATCACTGTGCTGCCCCTGACAGCAAAGAGGGGCGGGTATGTCCCCTCCTTCCTCAGAGCTGCAGACACAAGCAGATCCACTCACTCACAGCATCCCAAGTCTTTTTATGCTTTTCTCATAAAAACTTCTTTAAGTTTGCATTCTCCTTTACACACAACTGTGCTTGTCTTAGTAAAGATCATGTTTTAAGTGATTCCCTGTTAAGGGAAATAGAAGGGATGACACAGTAAGTCAAGCTGCCTCCCGCCGTGCTGGTGTCCTATAGTAGAGCCCTGTGTCAAGTCAGGGCCTCTCTGCTTTCAGTTCAGCACCCTGCTAATTCACCAGCAGAAGGTGGGCCAATGCTTGGATCCCTAACACCCATGTGAGAGACTCAGGTGGAGTTCCAGGTGCCTGACTTTGGCCTGGCCCAGCCCTTGTCATTGAGGCCATTTGGTGAGTGACCCAAGGAATGAAAGATCTCTTTCTCCCTCTCCCTTCTCTTTTCTCTTGGTCTCCGCGCCACCCCCCCCCCATGTGTGTGTGTGAATGCCTTTCAAGTAAATAAATCTTAAAAAAAAAAAAAGCAGGGGCTGATATTGTGGCATAGTGGGTTAAGCCTGTGACACCAGCATCCTATGTGGGAGCAGGTGTGGGTCCTGGCTGATCAACTCCCTGGTAGTGTGCCAGCAGAAGAAGATGGCCCAAGTTCTGGGGTCCCTACATCCACATGGGAGACCTGAGTGAAGCTCCTGGCTTTGGCCTGGCCAGCCCTCACTGTGGGGGCCATCTGGAGACTGCGCTAGCAGATGGAAGGTGTCTCGCTTTAACTTTTTCAAAGTGAAGTCTTTAAAATAAAAAGAAGAGGAATCAGCCTGATCACTCAGACTCTGGCTGCCTGTCCACCCTGGGACCTTTCCCACTCATGCTTGTACCCTCCCACCACTGGGACCCGTGGGGCCTCTCTTTCCTCCACATCGCCCAACCTCAGGTACTCTGCTTCAGCCACACAGGCCACACCCCTCCCCTGGCAGGTGCCCTGAAGGCTCCTCTGGCTTAGGCAGCGCTCTGCTGTCCTGAAGCTGTGTCCAGAGGCAGAGGTGGCTGGGGGGTGTTTTCCAGTGTCCCCGGCATTCCTGGGCTGCTTTCTCTTCCGGCCTCCACATTCCTGTTCTCTCAAGAGGGTTCCTTGACCTCCCAGACTTTGCAGGAGGAATGAGCAGGGTAGACAGAGGCCAAAGAAGAGCCAGAGGAAGCAGCAGTGTGTGAGTGCCATTAAAGCCACATACGAGGAGGCCAGCAAAGGAGGACTCCATCTGACAGGCAGCAAGGTGGACTCTGCAGGCAGGAAGCCTGTAATCCACACTGTGAGGCCCCAA